ACTGGGATTGCAGGCACATGCCCCCATGCCCAGACTCGGTCACAGGCTCAATGTACTTGAGGGCAGGGCCGGCATGGCACACTGAGGATAGAACTCCAGTCCCTGCATCTGAGCTGAGCTGAACTATCTCACCAGCCCTAACCATTTTATTTTTTAACCCAACAAGTTTTTATGCTTTTCATAGATGCTAAATTCTATTTTCAAACTGACCCTTTTCTTTTAAATTTTTAACATATCTTTTTCTGGGAGTACCTTGCTATATGCATTTAAAAGCAAACAGTTTATTATTTCAATTTTTCTTAGAAACTATTTTATCCTATCCTTGTCTGCCCTTTCATTTAATCATGCTGCTCTCTGGTTTGAGCACTTATACTGTGCAACAACTGAGTAGATGGAAAAGCTTCAATATTTGGAATTTTCACAGAATAAGAAGGCCTAATTTATCGGTCACAAACTACTTGCCTACAACACTAGGTTTTAGTAGTTGGTTCAGTTATAAGGAAGGAGTTAGAAATTTAAATTGTACAATGTCCACATCTTAGTTACTTTTGTTATTCCTGGGATAAAATATCCAATAGTCAAAGTTAATGTTTGTTCACAGAGTTGTGACCCATAACTAGTTGGTTCCAAGGCAGGCCATCATGGCAGAGGGGCATGGATGAAGAGAAATAGTATATGGCAGGGCAGGCAGAAAGCAGCAAAAGGACAGTAGCTAGCCTGCTTTTATTGAGCAAAGCCACCCACACTGAGGGGGAACCTCCCATTATCCAGACAGAAATACACTAAATAATTTCATTGCCACATACCTTTAATCCCAGTATCACATGCCTGGGTTGGCAAGATAGCTTGTGGTCTAAAGTGCCTGCTTAGGCAAGTGCTAGGACAGGGACCACCGTTCGATCCCCAGCACCACATGCCATGCCAGCCTCACCCCTGGGGGACGGCGGGGCTGAGCCTGCCATGAAAAAAAAAAGTTTGGATTGGCCAGATAGCTCAGTGGGCTAAAACACCAGGGTTCATCCCCACCCACAGGCTGCCCCACCCACAGGATGCCTGCCCCACCCACAGGCTGCACTGAGATAGTGACTGAGATTGGGTGTGGTGGTGTGTGCCTATAATCCCAGCTCTTGGGAGGCTGAAAACAGGAGGATCACTGAGTGTAATCTTTGCAGTGAGACCCTGTACTAAATACATAAAAAAGAAAGAAGGGTTAACAAATTTAAGTTCTACCAATCTAAAAGTGTCTGCAGCAGAACTCTTAATTTTTAGTCTCAATTTAATGAGAGGGAGTCATGGATTACTAGGTATTAGTAGAGATATTTGATGGTAAAATGGTCTGCTTCTATCAAAAACACTACACAGTCACCCCAGGTTCATTCAGGAAAGTTTCCTACAGAAAGAGATGAGCACCAATTATTTCTGATAGAAAATGTTGTAATTTTTCAACTATGCCTAGGATTATTTGTGGATGGATTAACTGTCTGTGTTCCAACACCCTGCATTACAGGGTCAATAAATTCAAGGTGGTGGGCAATATAGACTTTGCAGGTGATCAGATGTACATTTGTTTTTATTTTTTATTTTATTTTATTTTTGGTGGAACCGGGGATTGAACTCAGGCCCTTGTGCTTGCTAGGCAAGTGCTTATTTTACTGAGCCATCTCCCCGGCCCCCACATTTGTTTTTATGCCATTGTTGTGTGCGGTAACAGAAGACCAACCCAGTGCAAGCATACTCTTTGACTTCAATGAGGATGAAGTCAAGTTTCCTACCACTGGAAATTCTTACATAAATTCAGCTTCCAGCACCAGGAAAATGGACAAAGACTCATTGGAATATAGGTTTAACAGATGTGGTTCTATTGATTAGCTCTTCACTATCATAGATCTAGTTGAGGGCTCCGTCTTCCCATGGACCCAGACATTTCATAAATTAATACGCTTATAGGGTTTAGAGAAGAAATATTTGGTCCAACTCACACCAAACTGGATCCAGGTACCTATATTTCTCAACCTGAGTAGAAAGGAGCTTAAATTTCAACTTAAATGCTTGGACAGATGTTTTAGCATATTGCCTCACCTTTTTAGTTTGGTGTAAATAATGTACTTAGAATTTATCCTCCATTAGTGGACAGATGCAATTTTTTATGATATTGTCCTTGGAACCTAGCAAGAATTCTTGCAATAAACATAAGGCATTGATTATCTCAGAGCCTCCCCTAACATGAGCTCCTCGGCTCTATGAGGCAGGTCTGTCAAGTTGAGTTCTGTTGAAACAAGTATAGAGTCCATGAGGCACAGGACAGGGATGGTGAGAAAGGAAGTGCTCTGGAATGGACAGTAAACGTAGTCGTAATCAGCATGACTTTCCATGTGTAAGGACTGTTACACTTTCTGCATAGTGATTCCTTTCATTGTAACCTTCACTTCATAAATGTAAAAAAGCTTAGGCCCAGAAAAGTTCAATAATGTGCTTCACATCACCCAAGTAATAGGTGGCAGAACAAGGATATAAAAGTACAAACTCTAGATTCACAGCCTCACCAATATACTTGGTCCATGTTATATAGGCACCACTAAGTTTAAGACACTTAAAAGTTGCTAATCAGGAATAACTATGCACTCTGAAGATGGAGATGCTAATCCACCCTTTCCATTTCCTGGGCACATTTGATCTGATAATTGAAAACTCATCTTTTCACATGGGTAAATGTTCTTCTAGCCTTTTCTTGAAAATCGACTGCAGTTTCGTTTGCAGTCAAAACCAAACCAAATATTTGTTCTCAGAAGCATTTTGAACTGCTCAAATGCACAGACGTTAGCAAAATCCCAGACATCTACAATTTATAACATGGTAGAGGTTAATTAATTTTGGGAATCAGTATCTTGCTATTGAAAGTTGATGAGTGCTGGCTCTTCCACCAATAGGACCTTGTAACTGGTCTACTACATGTAGATTTATATAAAACACTTGGGTTGTAGATAAAGTCTTTTAAATACAATTATAAAAATTTTATTTGATTCTAAGCAGTAATAAAAGTGTGACCAATTACTCCCTCAAACATCTTGTAAGATGTGAATACAAAATCACTGCCAAGACAAAGAGGAAAGTTTTTCAAAACTGTTGTGAGGTAAATTGAGCTCTTAGAAAAAACAATGGCTTGGCTGGGCAAGATAGCTCCGTGGACTGATTGCCTGCTTAGGCAAGTGCAGAGGCCAGCGTTGGATGCCGGGCACCACATGCCATGTTGGCCCTGCCCCTGGGACGTGCTGAGCTGGCCACTGACACCTGGCATGGTGGCACACACCTGTAATCCCAGCAATGGGGAGACTGAAAACAAGAAGGCTACTAGGAGTCTGAGCTGTGTAGTGAGACTCTGTACCAAATACATAAATTAAATATATAAATAAATAAATAAATAAAATGTTTTTAAAAAGCAATGGCTTAAATCTTCACTGTTTCATACCACTTAGAATTCAATTTGTGTTGAAAGACTATTCTTAATCTCTCTGTTTCTCAGGATGGTACTAGAATACAGGCTTTGTCAGAAAATGAGTATCTCATAATCTCTGCTGAACTCAAACAGTGTAGCCTAAGCTTGATACTTGTTCCATGTTTCTTACATGCATGTGTTCCTCCTGTATTAAATACCAGTGTGAAGACTAGAATCCCAGAGTTGTCCTTAATGCCTCCCCCATCTCACCCCTATATTCACTGCCACTGGAGTTAACTCACCTACCATCTATTCACTCTTCTCTGTTGTAGCACCACCATAATTCAGGTTGCTCTTTCGCACTGCTCTTCACACTGAGGGCGTGTGTCTTGGTGAGATGTAAAAGGGATGCCTCTACCTAAAACCCTCCTTGGGTCCCTGTAGCTCAGGGTGCACTGTAAGTTCATCAGCCTGTGCGCCTGGCTCTTCTCCCTGCTGTGGCTTGCCATCTCTCCATTAATCTGCTTCCAGCTGACTCAGCTAAGAGTATGTCCCAGCGCCCTCAATGTTTCACTTCCTCAAGCTTTAGTTTTGGTATTTAAGTGCCTGAAACATCCTTTCCCCATTCCTTTATACCCAGAGGAAACCAGAACAGGACCCAGAGACAGATGTGCGTGCACAAGCATTTTCTTTAATAACAGAACAAGATCTAAAGCTGCACCAGAGAATCCTTGAAGAATTATCTATTTACTGCTTTCCACATTTTTGGATGTATATCATATGTGTTTACTTTTTCTTTATGCATTTTCAATTACATTTCCTAATCTCACCTCCAGAGACTGATTCAGTAGGGAAGCTAAAGTCTAGGATTATGATGTCCCAACCTTCACAGACACTCAATTAGTAAGGAAGTTGGGGAACTATAGTTGAAATTATTGTTTCCAATATACTGACGCAATATACATTACTGTCTTTTAAGAAATATCCAACTTGGGGCTGGGGAGATGGCTTAGTAGAATAAGTGCTTCCCTGGCAAGCACAAGGACCTGAGTTCAATCCCTGGTTCTGCAAAAAAGAAAAAAAAAAAAAAGAAAGAAAGAAAAGAAATATTAAACTTTATTATGTAATAATAGTTTTATTATTTTCTTTTATTTTATATTAGGTTATTTCTACTACAAATATACATTCTGTAAGGATATCTGAATTATGTCTAAGAATTTTACCAGTGTGGGTAGCACATAGTTACATTTAAACAAGGGACTTAACTAATCATTGAAAAACACAAGCTTATGATAGAAATTTTAAAAACGATTTTAAAGCTTAGGCAAACAAAAAATACATAAATACACTTTATGTTTTGATTCCAAAATTTTAATCATCACTGAAATATCATTTGCTTGGCTCACAAAACCATGGACATTCTCAAAATATAAAGCAGAAAGTTATTAGAAATAACTTCTGTATAATTTATAACTATTTCACTAAATATTTTTATAATTTTTTACTTTAGGCAAAATATACAGATGCCAACATTTTCAGAATTAACTTTTGAAATATATATAATCCCCTAAAATTCAGACATCAAAGCATCTATTTCTTTAAAGTTGTTAGTTATATTCTCAATGCATTCCCCAGTTTTTAATTTTATCCCATCAATGACAAGATAGTCCTCTTCATGGTAGTTTTGAAATGAAGTGCCTGCAGAAGCTTCAGGGCTGCATTTCAGTAACTGCAAAAATAACCATATACTTTATCAGAGGTATAAAATTTACTTGATTATTTGAACAAAATATAAAGTAGTAATGACTCAATCTATATTAGAATACAAAGTTTACTTTTCTGGAGGTCAAATAACAATCCCAATCTTAATGTGTAGTACATGTGTTTGTGTAAGAATATGTCATTACTTAAAAATTCTATCTCTATTCCTCAATATTACGCAATTTTAGCTTTAATTTTATAAGTTGGAAAATGTGATCATCTTAGTTCTGAGTTTCTATAATAGCTATTTAAAGTATCAAAATATTAAATATCTATCTAAAATAATTAAAATTATTTCTGAGAATAAAAATTAAAACCTCCTAGTGATGAACCCTTCTAAGAATACTGTGTGGGTGCACACAAGAATACACACATGTGATATCTTTAACATTAAGGTTCATTAATTGTAGGAATCAGAATATACATGTAGCTCATACAAATATATTAATATATAAAAATATTCCTTTTAATATAAATTATTATGTAGTAAACTATCTGACTTACATATGGATTATGTAATTTGTTGATTTTTTGATTTATCAAAATCTGATCAATTTTTTTCCATTGCTTAGCTGATGGGCGCTTTTAATTACAATCACTGTTAATATTAGCTAAAGGAGAATACCATTAGGAAGGTGACTTCTTTGAGGAAAATAATACAAAACATTTCAATGACAAATAGGAAAGAGTTACACTCATCCACTGGTGTAAATACTTGAGGGTAATCAATCTGAAAACTTGTAGGTAAAATGAATAATGAAATCAAATTTTCAGCTTTGAAATCAGCTTGTATGATATCTTCGCAGAAAATCTACTTGCTCAGGATTTTAAAATTATCTGGTGGCTCTTTTTGTCATGCATTATTTGAATACAACATTATACAATATAACAAGCATTGTTGAATTTCTATTATTTTGTTTAGTGAAATTCTGTATCATTTCTAATATTCTTACTATTTTTATTCTCTCTAAAAAGAAAAAATGCTTTGAACAGAACTCTAAAAAAAAAAAAAAGGAAAATGAAGAAAAATAAACTTTCTCCTACAAAACAAACCATATCTCCTGTTTTAGGTGAAGTTGTTTTAGAAACCATGTTAATGCATTCTGGGAGGGAGGGACGGAGGGAGGGAGGGAGGGACGGAGGGAGGGAGAGAGAGAGAGAGAGAGAGAGAGAGAGAGAGAGAGAGAGAGAGAG